ACAACAAAATACATAAACTTATAATACACATGTTCCAAACAACAGCAAGATACATAAACTAATTATACAGCAAAATACATAAAGTGATTCCATATGACATGACAACCTAATTATATCTAGAGGTTCTTCTTTGGTGTGGTCCTCTTTGTTGGAGTAGACCACCTTGTTATTGGGCCAACAATATTCTTGGCAACACTCAACCTAGTTGTAGGCCTTAGTGGTACAAAAGGTCTTGTTGGCTTCCTAACAGACAAATTTTGTGTCTTGCCCTTAGCAGGTCTATGTGTCTTCTGAGTAGCCTTTCCCTTAGAAGTCTGAGATGCTTGGCTAGATTGATGAGTAAAAGTTCCCTTAGCAGCGTGTGTTATTGTGTTCTGAGAGGGTTGACTTGGTTATTGAGTAGGCTGAGTTGTTGGAGTCTGGGTGTGTTGGGCTGATTGTTGAGCAGTCTGAGTTGGAGTATAATAGGGTTGGGCTTATTGTTGAGCAGTTTGTGTTGGAGTATGAGAGGGTTTGGTTGATTGTTGAGCAGCCTGTATTGTTGTATCCTTACGAGTAAACTTGTTGTGTCCTGCTTTCTTACACCTACTACAGTTCACCATGAAACCTGTTCTTCTCAATTTGCAATCAGACCCATCAATGTCACCTTGTTCTAGATTCCTCCTCTTTTTAGGGCTACCAGGCATCTTCCTGAACTTGGATGGTTTCACATCTGGATATGGTGTCTTAACCCACAAGTTTGATCCATTAACAGGGTAGATCACATGCTTATAAACTGCTTTGTACCTTGAAACCCTATCATAATCTGGAATATAAGTATCAATTTTGAAATTCCTACTCTTCATAGCAGACAAAGCATGAACATATGGGAGTCCTGTGAGTTCCCATCTTTTGCATGAACATATATGATCTTTCAAGTTCACAACAAATTTGTCTGCTTGATTTTCTAAGTGCCTTACTTCAAATATATATTCAACAGACATCCTAAAGAATTAAACAAACAGAATATATGAGTCACATGTTTGGATTTTATGTTATAGACATCCTAAAGAATTAATGTATGCTGATATTACATACCTTACTAGTCAGTTGTTGGTGTATGTGCTTGTGACATCAACTTTTTTTCTAATATTGTGCAATATATCATTCTCATCCAAAGTACCAAATCTCATTTTGTTATTTGCCCATCTCTACATCATGTATATTTTAATGTCTTCTAACATAGTGATTAGAGGTTTTGCCTTTGCATCAAGAATGACACTATTGAAGGATTCAGACATGTTGTTGAGAACAACATCACATTTGTTTTCAGTCTTAAAGTAAGATCTACTCCAAAACCTTGGTGGGATCTTTATCATATGTTTAAATGTTTCTTTATTGATGGCCCTCATTCTCTTCATCTCTCTTTCCCATGCCTGTGGGTATGTTGACTTGGCAGCCTTCCATATTATGTCCTTCAACATTTTTCCAGGAAATCTCTTCCTAAAATTGTTATAGAGGTGTCTAACATAAAACATGTGCTCCACCCTTGGTAATAGCTCATCCATAGTAGGTAGCAGATCTTGCAATAACATAACATATAATGTAGCATAAAAATACAATATAGCATAACAATAAAGCATAAGAATAAATGAAAAACTTGTCATTCGTTGGTTTGAGATGACTGTGTAAGTCAGACATTGATCTTTGCCTACAAGGTCATCAATTAACAGCTCTAAAAACTAAGTCCAGCTATCCTTGTTTTCACTCTCCACAAGTGCATATGCTATGGGAAACATCTGGTCATTATGATCCCTCCCTATGGCAGCCAGAATCTGCCTTCCATACAACCCCTTGAGAAAGCACCCATCTAGACCTACTACATGCCTGCACAACTTAAAGCTTTCCTTACACGCATCATAACATATGTAAAGCCTTATAAAATATGGTCTTTGATCCTCAACACCTTCTTGTACGGGATCAACATTGATCTTAACTGTTGACCATGGATTGGCTCTTAATAGTTCATGACAGTAGTCATAGACCCTTATGTAATCTCCCAAAAAAAACCATCAATATAATCTCTAGCTGCAAATCTTGCTCTTATAGCTTTGTTTTGTTGACCCCAACATTCCACTTTTTTTGTGCCTTCTCCTTGATATCCTTTATGCTCAACCTTGGATTGTTTTTCAGGCTATTCTGAATTCTTTTACTCAACCACTTTGTACTCATCAGTTTCACATTATACTCTCTACTACAACTATGTTTGCCAATTACTTTCCTGAGTTGCCAAGTGTCTTCATTTGACAACTTGCTACAATAAGCCTCCCAGTCACAACCAACTTTACATCTAACCCTTACCCTAACTTTGTCATTTTTTACAAACCTTAGGTCTCTACCATTTTGCACAGCATAAGATGTTATTGTTTCCTTAAAATCACCCTTTGAACTAAAATACATTCCCACATCCCACTTGTAATCTAACATGTCTTTTGGCTGTCTGAAAATTAGATAATTTTTTCTTAGAACCCCACTACTATCATTACTGTCACAACCACTTTGCATGTCCTCATTGTCATTGTCACTCCCTTTATCTTCTAAAGACTTATCATTAAGTTCTTGAACTTCTCCATTACCATCATTTTCATGACCAATTAGGGTATCAAGCTCATCCTCTTCAATCTCATCATACCCATCATACTCATCCTCAAAATCCACTTCTTGTGCACTATCATAATTGTAGTCCTCATCTTTACTATCATCAGAAAATAAACTTAAGTCATCATTATTTACTCCAACTTTACCTTGTTCAACTCCAACATTACATTCTTCCCCTACAGGTTTACCTTGTTCAACTCCAACATTAATTTCCTCAACTCCAACAGTATGTTCACCCACTGCAGGATTCACTTGATCAACTCCAACATTATTTTCCTCCAACCTAGTTGTGGCTTGATCAACTGTAACATCATCTTCCTCCATCACAACAGTGGTTTGTTCAACTCCCACAACTTCATCATGCAGTTGACTAAGTAACTCTTCCACCTCATCTACAATTTCAGTAGGGCCCTCATCAACAACAACATCACAGTAGTCAGGTTGAGACAAGGTATGTTGAATATAAATATCAATATTTTGGTGCACCCTATAAAGATCTACAATTTCTAAAGCACCATTATCATCAACAAGTGCATTCATCCCAAATTGAGGGTCCTTGTAATATATTGTTTCAAACTCCCTATAACCCAAGTCTTTCAATACACCAACTAGCTCAAAATAACTCCATTCGTCTATATCTACTCTTAAATCATCTACTACTCCATTCTCATATACACTACGACTTTCATTGGTGAACTCACCACTATGATGAATTTTGAAATTTATGTATTCATCCATGATACCTAATCATATTATCTAACTAATTAGAGTTTACACAAAATTTACATAAACCCTAAATCTGAACCTCTAGCAGATATTGCCCTATGAGATTCGTAAACCCTAAATCAGAGAGAAATGAACTAACCTTTTGATAATGTCTCCTTGAATCGTCTTCAATCCTTTGCCCTCAATCCTTCGCATCTTCAATCCTTCGCGTTTGGAACAATGCTTCGTTGAGTTTACCCCTAGCTTCAACCCTTTTATCTTCTGAGTAATGGAAAGTCAGTTTAAAGTGGATTTGTTTTAACACATTTTATATCCACGTCAACAACATCAAGTCCACTTGGACAAATGTGGCAATTGTTTTCAAACTTTGACTAACGGCAACAGACAGAAGGATAAACGTGACACCATTTTAAAAATTAGAGGACCAACTTACCACTTTTTAAAATTAATGAACCAAACTGGACCCCGAGACATAAATTAAAGGAAGAAAAAAGTTACTTTGTCAAAAATATATAAATCTACATCTTCATTTTTCCAAGAGCAACCATAAGTAAGAAATTTCTTCGAGCCATGCCACAAAGAGGAAGAAACCTAGGCATTAACATGCTTATTTCCTTTTAAAAAGATTAATTTTAAGAGTACAGACTTGTTTTTAACCAAGATTTTATAGCATGTCTCAACCTAATTTCATATAAGATATTCCATCTATCTTTGATATTTGTCTTAATTCTAAATTAGATGAGTTTAAAATAACTTACATTATTTTTAAAAAGTTCTCTTAAAATGATTTTTGAAAATATGAACATTTAAAAATATTATTAATAAACAAGTCTTTTTTTATCACCCCAGTATCCACTCTAATAAACCAACTAATTCAGTTTAAAATTAAATTTGACATCAATTAATTTCAAGTCTCTCTTAATTACAATTGCGGAGATCAAACCATGATCCACTCCCAATTCCAACGTCAATTGTAACAATTCAGCCTTTAATTAGAACGAATGACACCAATTTTTAATGAATTATTCAATCAGAAGCATGTGTGGTTATTAATATTGGTTTAAAAATATGAAATAACAAATACGAATGTTCATTCTAAGGTGTTTTCAATAAGTCATACAAATTGATAGAAACCGCATACTCCTATATTCTATTCCATACCTTAAAATTAGCTTCAACCCATTCATAATATTCTCCCAGTTTTATCAACATTTAATTCAAGAATTTTTTATTTTCTTTTAAATAAATACTAGTAGTAATCGTGTCAAATTCATTTTTAGTTTGAACATTACTAAACCTCAAAAGCTCAAATCGATGCTAAATCAATTATCGTTTGACACGCAAACATTTCCAGTTGTCAATTTTCAAATTTTCTACATACTCCAAAATAGATTCATGCACTAATAATCAAAACGTCTAATAATTTAACACAAGGTTGCTAATTTAATTTTTAAGATAATAGTGTAACTATTAAACCCATGGTAAAAATAACAGTTTCTTGTTTTTTTCAATAATTTGAATCCAAGTGGGTCTATAAATTTAAAACAACCACCTTCCTAGTACTATATACCTTTTTCTTCTATAACCCAATCCACAGAGAAAGAAAAGCAGTTTGAGATTCAGATCAGAGAAAAGTGATGGTGGTTCATAGAATAGAACTATGCATATCTATGGTTAGAATGGCCATAGAGTTTGTTATGGCAGTTGCAGAAACGGTTGTAATTGTTCAAGAAAGAAACACCGACCATTTTGTTCCATTCAACCGCGGAAGTACTCCTCTTCCTTTTCACGGTTACCTTCGTTGATGATTTCAATCTAGCTTCTTCCTCTGTTTTTTTTTTTTCAATTTCTGTATTTTATTTCTCTTTCATAAAACTCTGTATATATAGTTTAGATGCAAAACTGTGTAAGGGAAAATTGATAATACCCATGTTTTTAGGGATTGTTTTTATTCAAAGTCTTGGTTAGTTTGCAAGATTATGATGCATAAGTTATGTTGATTATGAATGAATTGGTTCAGGTATTTTTAATTCTTGATATCTATGCTTAATTTTCTTCTTCTTCTTGGTCTTTCATTGAAATTCCGAAAAATAATTCTGATTTTCTTTGTACTTTGTCCACGCAACAGAAACGGACATAAACAACGCTCTGTAGAGCAGATATCATGAGCTTTAGAGGGTAACGCTCTGTAAAAGATTTTGTGAATCTTATTAATCATGTGATTTCTAGAAGAAAAAAATATCCCAAAGAATTGTCTTTCTCTTAATCATGTGATTTCTGTAAAAAGTTGGTTTTAGCATTCCAGTAAAAAAAATGGTTTTGACCATTTTTATTCTAAACTTTTATTAAATATTTTCTCAATATAAATAATATCACTAGATTTTATGGTAACTCGCTTAAATATTTGTATTGAGAAAATATTAATTAATAGGGAGCTTCTAAGTTGAATAGGGGCGTCGAGTTGCATTTGTTAAATGGATTTCTGTAGAGATTATCTGTATAGAACTCTAAAGTTAGAAATTTTCAAGAATTTTTTTTCAATGGGACAAAGCTGGACGGAGAAGTTTCCTTGGTGACATTTTGGGCAGGGATTAGAAAAATATCCTTCTTCTTGCGGATTCTTAGACTTCAACCATATTATTTAACTTTTATGTATAATCTGCTCCAAATCGGAGACTTGAATCTGGTACAGTGCTGGAAAGTAAAGCTTAACTGAAAAGTAAAATGGCGACAAGATTAAACTCCTATGCTACGATGCTCCAACCTTGATTACAACAATAGTGCGATAACCCATCGATGTGACGGATTACTACTTTTAACAACTAGATTTATGCCTATGCTGAGAACTAAGATTGAATGATAGAAAATGAAAAATTAAGTCCTATTTATAGTGAAACAATGCCTTGAACGTCAAGCTGAACCTTCAAGAATCGTGGGAGTGAAAATCTATAGTCACGACTTCATTCTCCAACCATCCTTGACTGGACCATCAAAACCAAAGATGGCGCCCACCATCTAGCCATGGCGTCCACCATGTGTACAAAAGGTGGGAGATCTATTCTTGAGACCATTGGAACGTGGGAGAAACCCTAAACATCATGGCTATCCCCATGGTCAACGCCATGTGGAACACCATGTGTGTAATTTTCACCGAAAACTTTATTTTCTGCTATTTTCGCTCTATTTCTTCGTGGAAGGCTCTTATTAGGCAATGTACCTGAAAACAAGACAAAACACAAGCATAATGCAAGAAAATAACAATTAAACGGCAATAAACATGTGAAATCTGAGCCAAATACGCAGTGTGTTTCGGTGTTATCAAATTCTCCCACACTTAAATATTTGCTTGTCCTCAAGAAATCTCTTATGAGCACAAATAATAGCACACAAGTACTCAATCTAGGCTAAATACTTTTAGTTCTACCAAGGTTGCGTCGATATGTACTAACTCGTGTACCAAGGATATGTTAGTAACACTTCCCGCGAGTTGCTATATCATGTCCTTATACAAACCAATCTACATCATGTCATTATACCTAGGCCTAACTTACTCACCCCTTTATTATCCTTTTTCATTCAGGCGCAATCACATTAAGCTCGTTATCTTGTACTCGCATGGTGAACAAACCTGTTGGTGATCCTGATCCGAATTTGTGTCAATATTCAATGATTTTTGCTTTTCAACACAGACACATAAGCATAATTTTAGAAGTTTTGCTACCGTTGGGCTAAATAATCGGGTAAGGGTTACCTAACTTAGAAGGCGGATCCTTTTTTCAAAATCTTTGCTTTTCTGCATGTATTTTTTTTCCTTTTTACGGGATCATTCACCTATTTGCATCAGTTCATCCACGTAACGATAACTCAGATGGTACTGACTACTAAAATAAACTACTTAAGGATTAATTCAAGAGTGAGATTTTAAGTCCATCTCATAATAAGTATCCAAATTAATTTCTATAATTAAGAGATTTACGGTGTCAAGACCATATCGATTTCTCCAAAAGTTTTCCCAAGTCTCTGCAAACTATCCTAAACTTGTGTAACAGCCCAAATTTTCAAAATAAAAGTTGTTTTCTTATTCAAAAAATTTTGACATGGCTCAAGAAATGGGTGAAAATAGACAAAGTACACATATGACTCACTAAACACATGTAATTATTAAAAACAAACTAAAAACAAGCTAAATGTATATTTAGAACTAAACTAGAAAGCAATAAAATGAAAAACATAAAGAAAGATAGAAACAATAAATATCTCCTCCTACACTTAAACCAAACATTGTCCCTAATGTTTTGATAAACGGTGGAAAGAAATAGGTAAAATCTGGACATCACTACTACTGACCACTGGTACCCTCTCCTCCCTACTCTAGATGTCGGTTTCGCTTTTTCCAAAGAAGGACTTGAACGAAAGAATGGAGCATAAAACTTCGATGGTGGGCAAAGGTTTGGATGTTATGGGAAAATTCTTGCAAAAGGATGGTAAGTTCGACAAGAAGAAAGGTAAAAGTCAACAGAAGTCTTATAGTGGCGAAACATTTGGTATTCGATGTTATCACTGTAAGAAGGAGGGTCACACAAGAAAGATGTGCCCTGAACACCTAAAAGATCATGGAGGTAAGGATAATGGTAACGCAACCATTGCTCAAGATGACTTCGACTCATCTAATGTTCTGGTGGTTTCAGGTGACGACTCAAGAAAATAGTGGATTATGGATTCAGGTTGCACTTGACACATGATTCCAAACAAAGAATTGTTCGAGGAGCTATGTGATCAAGATGATGGACTGGTGGTGCTGGCAAACAACAAATCTTGCAAAATTACAAGTATTGGATTTGTGAGATTCAAGCTCCATGATGAGTCAATAAGGTTATTGACTGAAGTCAAGTATGTACTTGATTTGAAGAGAAATTTGATTTCTCTTGGTGAATTCGACAGGAAGGAATATGTTTTCAAGGAGAGAAAAGTATCCTAAGAGTCATGAAGGGGTCGAAGGAAGTCTTGAGAGGCGTGAAGAAACAAGGCTTGTATACCCTTGAGGCTGAGGTTGTAAGTGGTTCGACAAATGCTACATCCATAAAACCTGTGTCAAAGACAGAATTATAGCACATGAGATTGGGTCATGTCAGCGAAAGAGGTCTGGTCGAATTGGGGAAGCAGAACCCGCTAGGAGGTAAGTCGCAAAGTTGGAGTTTTTTGAATCTTGTGTATTTGGTCAATCATGTAGGGAGAAGTTTAACAAAGGCAAGCAAATAACACATGGATCCATGAATTACATTCATTTTGATCTTTGGGGGCCTGCAAGGAATCCTTCACACTCAGGTGCAAGGTATTTTTTATCCATCGTTGATGATTATTCCAGAAAGCTATGGGTATTTATTCAGAAGACAAAGGATGGAACTTTTGAGAATTTCAAAAGTTGGAAGGTTCTGGTCGAAACTTAAACTGGCAGAAAGGTTAAGAGGTTGAGAATCAACAATGGCCTTGAGTTCTGCAACGAAATGCTCGACAATTACTATGTTGAGTCTGGGATTGTAAGGCATAAGACTGTAGCAGATACTCCTTAACAAAATGTCTTAGATGAGAGATTCAATCGAACAATCCTTGAAAGGGTTAGATGCATATTGGTTAATGTTGGATTGAAGAAGGTGTTTTGGACGGAGGTTGTTTCAACAGCAGCCTATCTGACAAATAGATGTCCCTCGACTGCCTTGGGAATGAAGACACTTGAAGAAGTTTGGCCGGGACATCCACCTAGTCTCGACAGACTGAAAGTATTTGGCTGTGTGGCCTATGCTCATATTAGGCAAGACAAGGTTGAACCTAAAGCTCTGAAATGCATATTCATGGGATACCCTGAAGAAGTGAAAGCTTATAGGCTATGGTGCCTAGAGCCAGGTCATAGGAGGTGTATCACCAGTAGAGATGTAGTTTTCAATGAAGCAAAGATGGATTTCAATGAAACTGATGATGCTGATGAATAGCTGGAACAAGGAGAGATTCCTGTAGAGGTGGAGCATGTTAATGCTGAATTGCGTATCCCAGATGAAGTTGAAGAAGACGTAAAAGATGTTTTCGAAGATACGGAGACTGATAATGACTACCTACTAGTAAGAGACAAGTCGAGGAGAGTCATCAAGCCACCTCAGAGACTTGGGTATGCAGATCTTATAGCTTATGCCTTAATCTTTACAAGTGAGGTTCTAGATGAAGAACCTAGAGACTATAAGGAAGTTATGAGGAGTAGAAAGAAGACTGAATGGTTGAAGACCATGGATGATGAGATGAAATCTCTTCATGATAACAACACTTGGGAATTGATCAAGAAACCTGTTGGATCCAGGCTAGTCAGCTGTAAATGGATTTTCAAAGTTAAGGAAGGGATCAAAGGAATGTCGTCAAAGAGATACAAGGCAAGATTGGTCACTAGGGGGTTCACCCAGAAAGAAGGTGTCGACTTCGATGATGTGTTATCTCCTTTTGTAAAGCACGTATCCATTCAAATGTTGCTTTCCATATTGGCACAGTTCAACCTTGAACTGGAACAGATGGATGTGAAAATTGCGTTCTTGTATGTGATCTAGACGAAACAATCCTTATGAAGCAACCTGAAGGGTATGTCGAAAAAGGGAAGTAAGATTATGTGTGCAAACTGAATAGATCTTTATATAGACTGAAACAATCTCCTCGACAGTGGAATAGAAGATTCGATAAGTTCATGGCACGCATAAGTTTCATTAGAAGTCAGATCGACCACTGTGTTTACTTCAGATTTCGACCTGGTAATTTATTTGTTATTTTG